TTGTTAACTGCTGAACATTAGAGATAAATAGACTGCATTACTGAGCGGAACTATTGTGACGATCCATTACGGTTCTGCCTCATGAGCCTCAAGAAACGCGACACAAACATTAGATACATTGTTTGATGTTTTCAAATTACGTAAACTAGCTCACATGATTAATAAAAAAATGTTGAGAGGTTGTCTTTTTATATAAGATAGTGATTTTGAGGCAGCGCCGGGGTAATAATAATCAGACTGTAACATATTTGCAGCGCTTTGAGCATGCACTAGTGCATGGAGTCTAGCGCTCTACAAATACAGTGTATTATTATTATATGGGTACAATGTGTGAAGCTCATTGCTGGTGTCCCCTGTGGTGATATTGATGAAATATTGGTAAAACCATACTCACTCACTCACTCACTCACTCACTTGGAATGCGAACATGAATTCCATACGCGGTATTGGCGATTTTAATTCATCAAATGTTATTTATGGCATTACCACCCTTCCATAGCTTCACGCATGGTCGGATGGAAACAGCTACGTAAGGTTACTGTTTTCCATCAGTGAGTTATGCACGATATGAACGGCAATATTGGTACTTCAGTGTCTACAAATAATAATCAAACCCTTCATATTGCTCTCTGGTCTTGAAGCATTTCAAAGTGTTTGCGAACCCAACAATGACAGATTTACAGAGTATTGTGTATAAACTGAACTTCATCTATATCAATACAATATTTTCGTATTTTTTCTCCCCCTAACTAATGCAACTGCGATTGATTACTTTTTTAATCATAAACTATCATATTAAATCCAAATACTACTTTTGTATTCTATCACTATATTGCCGGTGATGTTATCATTGCATAATATGGGAATATGAGAATATTATTGCAATAACGTACATTAACGCTACTGAAAATGTGTAATGAATATACACAGTGAATCAAATTATGATGAACAAACAAGGTATATCTTTATTGTTGGTTCAACAGCAATGTTTACTTATTTTATCAATTTAAATATTAACATAGTCATAAATCTTTTTTAATTTATTTTAATTATATACATGTATTGTGCGACTATTGCACTGTATGTATTTATGTATGATCTATATAGTTAGGTGAGTAGAGACCCTGAACATATATATACTCATGACAATAATGGTTGTCATCCACCCTCCTCACCCACCCCACCCCACACCCACACACACACCTCACACCCCACCCCCAAATGCAGTTGTTTGGATCTCTCCATTAAAAATTGGCATGAGTATATATATAATCTACTTATTCTAATATCATTGCAATATTGTTTTATTGTAAATGTGTATGTATGAAAGATTCTCACACCATTGATGAAAGATGCACAAAAAGAAAGACGTTTAAACTGGTGTATTAGAAAATCAAGACTGGGGTGTTTTCTTTTCTGATGACGGCTCGAACACTGGATGAAGAAAACTGGATTGTCCACCATGATAACGACCCAAAACAACAGGCGGGCTACACAAAAAAGTGGTTGTCGGACGAATATGTTCAATTTTTAGACTGGCCCAGCTACAGCCCAGATCTTAACCTTATTGAGAATGTGTGGGGACTAATAAAGGACATAATAAATCAAAAAAGACTTAGAAATATTGAAGATGTGAAGAAAGAAGTGGTCGAACATCGGGAATCGTTGTCACACGAATTTCTACAAACTTTAATCGGTAGTCTACCTAGGCGCATTCTGTCGTGTATTGCAGGGCAAGGAGGTCTCACAAAGTACTGAAAAGACACTTCTAAAGACTGTAAGAGAATCATATCTCAATATATTCATACAAGGAAAACTTCTATAGTTTATATACATGTATTAGATATTGCCAAAACAACTTTCTCAATAATTTTTGGGAATACTATAATTATTCTGTTTGTGACCTTGTTATAAGAGTTGATATATTAAGTGGATGCAATGAGTTTAAAGGTCGATATTTACAATGTTTAGACCATTCTTCTCTGTTTCGAGTGACCTTACAAAAGCAACATCTTTTAGAATGTGAGTGAGTGAGTGAGCTGGGTTTTACGTCGCGTTTAGCAATATTCCAGCAATATCACGAGGGGGGACACCAGAACTGGGCTTCACACATTGTGCCCATGTGGGGAATCGAACCACGGTCTTCGGCGTGACGAGCCAACGCTTTAACCACTAGGCTACCCCACCGCCCCTTTTAGAATGTGATGCTTACCTGATTATGGTTTTAGAACCTACACCAAAAGGCCGCTCCTGTTGTAAGTAAGACATTGTTCATCCAGAAGTTTTTTATCTTCTCAAACTGATGCAAATGCAATTAATTTGTTTAAACCGTTGTGTCGCATTTTGATAAGTCGAACTCACGCTTGTCTCGAAGTAAAAGCTTGGTCGCTGATTTTCAATTAATTAGTCATTATTATTAGTTGTGTCGAACCTCGAATAAATCGAAGTGTTCAGGTAGGTGTCTTCATATTCGACAAAGAGTGTTTGTATTAGATTGATTACGGTCAGAACATGAGTGAGTAAGTGAGTTCATTTTTACGCCGCTTTTAACAATATTCCGGCTATATCACGGCGGGGGACACCAGAAATGGGCTTCACACATTGTACCAATGTGGGGAATCGAACCCAGGTCTTCGGCGTGACGAGCGAACGCTTTAGCCACTAGGCTACCCCCGAACATTGAACATGATATGAATTATATGTCAACGCGCCTGAATTTCCTACCCACAGATTCTATTGGACCTATGGGCTAAATAGTTATGGACCCGGGTTCGAATCCCCACATGGGTACAATGTGAGAAGCCAATTTCTGGTGTCCCCCGCCGTGATATTGCTGGAACGTTGCTAATAGCGGCGTAAAACTAAACTCACTAAATAGTTATAGGTGTATGTAAAACATTGACAGCACCAGGTATTCCTACAAAAGCTGAGCATACGCTGATCCAACGGTGGCCCCGCTAAGCACACAATTTACACAAACAGGTGGCATTGTGGTAGCCTAATGGTAAAGGTGTTTGCTCGTCACGCCTAAGACCCGGGTTCGATTCCCCACATGGGCACAATGTGTGAAGCCCATTTCTGGGTCTGTGATGTTTCTGGAAGACTGCTATAAGCCCCGTGGAACTAAACTCACTGACCCATGTCATACGGCGGCGGTCTATAAACAAGCTTGAGCTTGAAATGCATGTTTATCTGCTGATTTGTGGACTTAAAAATTTCGACAGGGTGCGAATGTTACTCAGTTGCTACACCTATATAGCAAGGCCTAGCGCCCAAATGGAATTATCTGTTCTGGCAGATAACCGACAGCGCTTATCAGCTGTTGACGTTATGTATTCACTTGATGACCACACTGTTTCCTCACTACTGGCCCCACAGACCTTTTACTCCAAAGAGTGAGTGGGTGATATTGGTTTCACGCCGCTTTAGCAATATTCCAGCAATATCACGACGGGGCACACCAGCAATGGGCTTTACGCATTGTACCCATGTGGGGAATCGAACCCGGGTCTTCGGCGAGCGAACGCTTTAACACTAGGCTACCCCACCGCCCCTTCGTCCTAAAGAGCCATGATATACATCAATGCACGGTGAAACAATTAAATAAGCCTGCATGATCACAATTATCCTCCTATTGTGGGTTTTCGAACGCTCAAAAACTTTCGTTATCCTCTCGCTAACTGCACGAACAATTATAAAAACATGTGACCAACTTATAAAATACAACTCAATCTTCAAAACAAGCCATCACAAAAGTACGTACAATGTCTGTGTAACACTACACACCTCGTTATAGCGCGAATAATCACTGTCGTCTGAGAGGGTATAATGGCCGGCAACATATATATGCAATGTGACGATAACTTTGTCAATGAATATCCGTATATTGGCTATAGTAATAGGCAATCTGGGAATCGAACCCACACTCTCAGTGTCAGGTACGTAATCGCCAGCACACAAGTCAGCGCCATAACCCACTTAGCCACTGCGGCTTTCATTTTAATTCTTAAAGTGACATACCCCAAAGAAACCCTGAAATTGATTATATAATGAGATGTGTTTAACTGATCCTTGATAAGTCGATCCGCCACTTTACTTTTCATTGTGTTTTCAACTATTGTGTTTGATTATATATACATATATATACTTCATGTTTAACACGCACATAACATAATCCAGTCTGAACCAGACAATTCAGTGATAGAAAGTTAGGGTGTTTTCACAAATTGCACTCTAAATCCAGTAAAACTGCTTGACGTTTTTAAGTCAATACTGCCAAAAAGAAAAAAAATGAATACTTGTCGCGTATTATAAATTTCGCTCGAATGAAATTACCCTTGTGTCAGAACTGAAGTCTTCAGACAAACAGAAATACAGACAGACAGGGAATCTTATCTCATCTCCCGTCAAAGTTTTCAGTTTGTGTCAGTGTAAAATTAAAAGAACCAAATCTTATATAATACGAACATACACTTGTGAAATAGGTGGTTTTTAGGTTTAAACATAGCATTTTCCCAGGAAGACATTTACCTACTAAAAGTTAGCATGTTACCTTACTTAATTATGAAGACCATGATAGTAGCAGTCAAAGGTAGGCCAACCCATGGATTGTTGGCAACAAACTAGTTCAGTTATCTACACTCCCTGATAATAAGATGACAGTGTAAATATATTAAATTTCCTAATTCCGATAGTGTTAATTCTGATTGTTGACATGACCTGGAAGTGATATGTTGGAAGGAGTGATATGTTATGTCTAAATAAGGTTGGAATCGATCATCTTCACTTTGTTCTTTAACAGACTAAGAACACAAATATGGGTAGATACCTCAGAATAACTTAGCGGGTTTCACAAATGCATCAGCTATTAGAGTTATATCCCTTATTAGAAAACAACATATGCCAAGCTCCTTCTCAGCGCGTGACACCTTCGTTACTCTCCCGTATACCTTTGCGAGGAGCTTCGAGTTCAAATCTCAGGGCGCTGTGAGGAGCTTGTAACAAATCTGACAAACACGCACATGACCTCGGCCTGTTTTATTTCCGTACACAATATGCCATGGGATGATCAGAGATTGTTATCTTTGCATTGATACCATATTGCAATGCTCAGCTAGACACCCTGCTCCCAAGCTCTGGACATTTTCGCGTTCATTCACAATATAAACAATGTCCAATCTTGATACGAGCGTTTCTTGGACAAACCCTTCCATTCAGGACGATGACAGCGAGGACGAGAGTGACAGTACTGACACCTCGGCGAGAACCCCTCATCGCTGTACTTCCGTCGTTTGTCACTGTGATGTGGTTGATGAAACAAGGGAGCTACTGGGCACTTCAAGGTTGATATGATTGTGTACTCACCTTTTCCAAGGCTGCCATGTTATCAGGTCAACAGCATAGTGTCATATTTGGAGCTCCGATGAGAATGAAATCCCTCAAATTATTTTGTTGTTATTCCAAAATACGAGGGGGGAAAAGGACGATATGAATTTCGAAAATTATTTGTGATACAATCATAGATAATGCACAGATGTTGGAGGTTAAAATTGCCTGTAAAGTGATAACATTCATGAAGCGTTGAGAGATCAAGGAAAGTGCTTGTATGAATTTGGCACGCCTGTGCATGTATGGCAATAGTATATATTAGGTGCATATTACATTTGCACAGCTCACAGTTTCTTATTGCGGCTAAACATATTTACATATGAAAGAAAATATTACGCTGTGTGTCAGTGTCCCAGATAGCATTCAGACGTTGGCCCAACGTCCGAATGCTATCTGAGATGGAGGCAAGGGGCAACGCCCACATTAACCACTTAATTCAGTGAACCATTACTAAGGAAGGAGTGGAGCTTGCTTTTTGTTCACATCCCCTCACAGTCCACTTACATTCCAACAAAAATTTATAATTGGCCTTTGCTCCCTTCTACTGACAGTGAGAAGTGTTCACCAATGACACCAATTAGAACAGACCATAGTCCCACATCCACAGTCAAGTGACCTTCTAATCCCTTATCCAAATATTCGGATGTGGGGAAAGTGAGGTTAAACCAATATATACAACAAGACTAATTAACAAGGCAAGGCGGAATAACAATGTGATGATAACAAATAAAGGGATAACAGAGGATTACAGGGATAAACATAGAGGCCAGCGGAAGCCAATGATACACAGAGCATAGAATGTATACAAGATTAACAATGTGATGATAGTGAATAAAGGGTAGCAGAGGACAACGGGGATACACATAGAAGCCAGTAATGTTTATACAAGAGGCTATGGTTGATTGATGAGCTCATCGTATGCAGTGGGGATGAAGTAGCCTTGATCTCTATTAATCAGTGGTTGGTATCATTTGATGTTAATTCCTTCGGTTATCTTGCGTTTGGTAAAGTCTGATTGGTTTTTAGCCCTTTGGCTTGCTGCCTCCACCAACAGGCTAAACACCAAAGACCTACTTAATCTAACTTCCTTCCTTATCACTGGCGGTGGGGTAGCCTAGTGGTTAAGGCGTTCGCTTGTCATGCCGAAGACCGGGTTTGATTCCCCACATGGGTACAATGTGTGAAGCCCATTTCTGGTGTACCTTGCTGTGAAAGTGGCGTAAAACCTAAACTTACTCTTTCTCCTTCCTTATCAAGCTTACATATTGACAAAACCAAAATTTTCAAGCACAGTTAAACTCAACTCACACATCACTGAAGACAACTTCTCGTCAGGAAAAAGAACAAATGTTTTTCAAAATGTCCATTTTATTTCACATTTGCAGAATGTGAAGTATCAGACCTGTTATCGTTGTAGCACATACGTAGGGAATGGACTGATAGTCGTATGTGAACTAGAATATTGACCTAACTTATATACATGTATAGTAAAATGTAGCATAAAGACATGATAAATAATATCTGTATTAAGCATGAAAGTCAAAGGCTTCTAGTAAGCTAGTATGTTAAAAGTGTAACATTTTACACTCATTTTTGGATTTAAATACTATAAGCACAAACCTTTAAGAACCAGGCAAAAGTTTGTGAAAACAGCTGTCTGACAGCCAACAAATTGGTGTCTAATCAGCATCATTTATTGCTGTCTTGATGATGAATACTTTTATTGTGTCTTATTTGAAACAAGCCAAGCATTATTCAGATTTATTATCAGTGATCTTGTGAGTAGTTGAAACAAACCACTCTTTACTAAGATGTTGCGTAACCCGTATTGCTCATGAGCCATCCTCTTATGTCAAAAGTGTCATGTGAGCCATGACATAGCTGCATCCTCTTATGTCAAAAGTGTCATGTGAGCCATGACATAGCTGCATCCTCTGGGGTCAGAAGTGTCAGTTTCAACATCTTCAGTCAGAGCTTAGTCTTAATGACTACATTTATAAGTTAGGCCATACCAATGATTTATATGTTAACTGAATTCTTTGGACAAGAAATAGCATGTAGTTTAATGACATAAATACAGAAGGGGTTTATCTGCGGTGAACCTGAGTCAAAGTTTGCTCAGCGTTCACTTATGGATGCCCTATGGACGTTTTGTCCAATCTTGATGAAGAGAGGTATCGAAGTGGAGTTCCAGATCTGGTTTTAAAGAGGTGATAAATAAAAATGGTACATAGCGAATATATGGGATGTTTAAACAGTGTTTTTACAGCAAAATTTTGTTTCAACGAACGACGCTACACCTGAATCTATATAAATACAGCTTCCATAAAAGTAAAACGTTTTGATGCACAATGTTAAACCAGGAACAGAAATGCAGTTTTTTCGAAGGCTGATATTGAATTGAATTAATAGCATTTGTCCACCCAACATTGCTGCAATATTGTCTTCTGGCTCAGTTGTCTCATTGTGCTCCCTTTTCGTCATGTACAACTGCTTGCCACAAAAGGCGACTATGCTTGTTTTAAGAGGCGACTAACAGGATCGGGTGGTCAGGCACGCTGACTTGGTTGACACATGTCATCGGTTCCCAATTGCGCAGATCGATGTTCGTGCTGTTGATCACTGGATTGTCTGGTCCAGACTTGATTATTTACAGACCGCCGCCATATAGCTGGAATATTGCTGAGTGCGGCGTAAAACTAAACTCACTCACTCATTCTGTTGTGGTCACACCATGTGTATAGTTACTTATGACTGTTAGAAGTGTTTTCATATATGATTTACGCATCGGTCAGGTAAAACATTTTCATATCTGTAAAAAATTCCTTAAATTTCAGTTTTGCAGAGTCTATTAAAATACCCATAAAGATCCGGATTAGAATTGATCTTCAACAACCCATGCTTGTTGTAAAAGGCGACTAAAGGGATCGGGTGGTCAGGCTCGCTGACTTGGTTGACACGTGTAATCATGTCCCAATTGCGTAGATCGATGCTCATGCTGTTGATCACTGGACTGTTTGGTCCAGAATCGATTATTTACAGACCACCACCCATATAGCTTGAATATTGCTGAGTGCGGCGTTAAACAACAAAACAGCCAACCAACCTATTAAATAATTTTTTGGACTGTAATGGGAGGTAACATTATTCAGACAACAGGCATCAGTAATCAGTCTAAACATAAAAATCACCATGTCTGTGTGTTATTTGGCATTTGTGAAATTTTGAAAACAATTTAAAGAAATAAGCATGGCTTGGATAATGAATTGTTTTTCTTGAATCCTATGGGACCGTTCTTAATTATTAAAATGGACTCCGTCCGTCCGTCCGTGAACATTTGTCTTTTCCGGAGCTGAACTCTAAAACCGTTCACTATTTCTTCACCAAACTTGGCACATAGATAGATCTGGTGGTGTACTGGTGCCTTTTGGTAGTTTTGGATTTCTGAATAAAATATTTTTGGCATTTCCATGGCAACAATTTTGACTTAGCCTGAAATTGGTGGTTGTGCTCTTTTCCTGAGCAGAACTCTAAAACCGTTCACTATTTCTTCACCAAATTTGGTACATAGATAGATCTGGTGGTGTACTGGTGCCTTTTGGTAGTTTTGGAATTCTGAATAAAATATTTTGGGCTTTTCCATGGCAACAAGTTTGACTAAAACAGAAATTAGTGGTAGTGCACTTTTCCGGAGCAGAACTCTAAAACCTTTCAATGTTTCTTCACCAAACTTGGCACATACATAGATCTGGTGGTGTACTGGTGCCTTTTGGTAGTTTTGGATTTCTGAATAAAATATTTTTGGCATTTCCATGGCAACAAGTTTGACATAGACTGAAATTGGTGATAGTGCTCCTTTCTGGAGCAGAACTTTAAAAACCTTTCAATAGTCTCCTTCCACTTTTCTATATACACACCTAAATATTTGACATAATCATAACTCGTAGACATAATCATGAAGAGTATTTTGCCATTGCGGGGGATATTGATGACTTTGTCTTCTTGTTTATGGCTAGGGGGGTGATGATGATTTTAAGGCAGGGCCACCCATTTTGTTCTGGGGAGGTAGTGGGGGTCAGCAATTTTGTATACATGTAGTAGGGGGGTCAGCAATTTTGTACCTAAAAATATTTAAAACTTATGGAAAGGGGGAGAGGTGGTCATTGATTTTGTACATGATATGCAAGGGGGGATCACTTACCTTGTACGTAAATTTTACACTCACTATGAACACTCCGAAGTTCAGAAGTGACTGAGTTTCATTGTTTCACAATGATGAATACAATATTTCCGGGTTAACACCTATCATCTGACTTTTACCAGCTGGTCTATAGTTCATTTCAAACATGTACAAGGAAATTGAAATTAGCAATTTGATTGTATGTGAAGAGAGGGGAGCTGTTTCCTCCTCAGCATGGAGAGGTGTCACGATGACGGTGACAAATACTTCCCAGAATTCCTTCTAAAGTTCTCCCAACTCTGCAGTTTATGGATGACTATGTGTTTAGTTCCATGGACGTGATGGAGGAAATGAGGTATTCAAACGGGTCTTGAACATCATGACTGTTTTATATGCCACAGTTGCTGAACTTCACTCAGGGTCGTGCAGTCATGGATCTCAGCATTATGAGATACATTATACTGGATTTTAGCTCACCTTGACACTTATGCCATGCCTGTGTGCTGTCTTACATTCATTCTCTATTCAAATTCACATCTATCCGGGACAGTTTTGTAGTTTGTTGTGTAACGTTGCAATATTCCAGCTATATGGCGGTCTGTGAATAATCAAGTCTGGACCAGAAAATCCTGTGATTAGCATCATGAGTGTCTGGTACAGGGATACTCCCCAGGGAGTTGAGTTGGTTAAAAAGGGTGCCAGAAAAAAAGACTTCCGTTGATCAAGAGAACACTGTAGCGCCTTGAGCATGATACTAGTTGCGTGGATATGTGCGCTATATAAATATCCTATCATCATCAGCAGCATCAGCATCTATTTGTAGAAGTCTGATGATTTCCTGAAGCCAGTATATACAGTGGATGGCAGCAAGTCATTCCTGAGGACGAGCTTAGCTCTAACTGGCTGTGATGTTTGAATATATTTTACTGAATTTAAGACTGACTGACTGACTGAGTTTGGTTTTACGCCTCTTTTAGCAATATTCCAGCAACATCACGGCGGGGGACACCAGAAATGGGCTTCACACAATGTACCCATGTGGGGATTCGAACCCGGGTCTTCGCCGTGACGAGCCAACGCTTTAACCACTAGGCTACCCCACCGCCCCACTGAATTTAAGATCATTCAGGTAGGGGAGCTACAGTACTGACATATATTAGAGATCATGGGGTTCACTTTGATGACATTTCCAGATTTCTTAAAGGGTACAAGATAGAACCTTTCTTTTTCCAATTTTCTTTGATTATCATGTTTAATTTGTTTTTTCAGAGGGGACTCGACACCTCAATCAGCTGACAATAGCCCACTCATTTCTTCCTCATCATCTGGTATGAAACATACTGCAACTCATGAAACTTAATTCACCACCAAAATAATGCAAGTGATGACGAAAATAATTTGAGTATGGCTACCTTGAAACGTTTTGTGAGACAAGGGCGACCTCACTGTTAGTGAGAAGGCTCACAATGTGGCCTGTGTACAGGTTTAGTCACCACTGGTCAAATCAATCTCATGTATGAGCTGTATCTGACTTCAGTTGTAAGTACCCGTGAAGGTCCGGGCTAGAATATTGATCTTCAGTAACCCATGCTTGTCATAAGAGGCGACTAACGGGATCGGGTGGTCAGGCTCGCTGGCTTGGTTGACACATGTCATCGGTTCCCCATTACGCAGATTGATGCTCATGCTGTTGAACACTGGATTGTCTGGTCCAGACTCTATTATTTACAGACGGCTGCCATATAGCTGGAATATTGCTGAGTGCGGCTTAAAACTAAACTCACTCACTCACTCATTCAATTGTAAGATCGTTCGACATGGTTGTCGAGAAAGAAGCTGCCCTCACATTAATTGCCACAAATGCTTCATCAGCTTGTGTTAGCAAATATTGATACAACGTGATACTGTACAGTGCAATATCTTTTTCATAAGTATGCTATCCAATCTTTAATGAGGCATTTTTACTTCCTAATTTTTTAAAAGAAGTAAGACACTATGTTTCAAAAAGGAAAACAGTAACTATTGTGCTTTCAGCAAATTTTGTGTGGAGTTAAGTGTGGTACAAGCATCATCATCATCATCATCATCATCATCATAATCACTGTTTTCTGTTCAGGTAATCATTGTCATGATGATACACCACTGGGAAAGGTGGACAAGAGTGCACGACGGAAACTCATAATAGCCAGTGTCCTGTGTCTTCTGTTCATGATCGGAGAGATTGTTGGTAAGAATCTTGTAAAACAAAGGCTTTGCAGCACTTAGAATTGTTGACCAAAATTTCTAGTATGAGATTTGAATTTGTAGGCTTTCACTGTAGATAAATACCTTTTCTTGATAAGTATCCTTTGTTTCCCCGTCCCCAAAGTAATGCAAACATGTGTCTTGGCAAATGGGTATCGCCTTCAGTTGATGTTAAGTTTCATGCATGTTTATCTGGACAAATGTTTTTGGTGTATATATATGCATTCTGCTAACATGAAGGTTCAGTTGTGTCAGAGGCATATGACGTCATCAGGCGTCTTATGACATCACTGCACTGTATGTTTCATGATGTCCAGTATATCAACAGGGAGGGTCCGTGTAGGGCTTGAGAGACCCAGTCGTCCAAGGCACTGCAATTTCTGTGCTGGATTGCCTCCCTTAGAAGAGCCAGGAATCTGTCACTGTCTGTTAAAATGCCACATTTGACCTGATGTTTCTGAGTTTGTCAGTACTATACACATGCTCATTGGTGTCACCAAACTTTATACATTCTCCACATTAAAGAGACAAACCGTTTGATGGAAATACTGTAAAATCGGTTTAAACTGTACTGTCAAATCGGTTTAAACTGTACTGTAAATCGGTTTAAACTGTACTGTAAATCGGTTTAAACTGACTGATATTTGTGGGTTGTTTCAGGTGGTTTCCTGGCTCACAGCCTGGCTCTGATCTCGGACGGGGCCCACCTCCTCACTGACTTTGCCAGCTTTATGATCTCATTACTAGCCCTGTACCTCGGTACAAGGAGGTCCACCAAGAAGCTCAGCTTTGGCTGGTACAGAGCTGGTAAGTTACACTACATGATTAAATTTCCTTGAAGTAGTTGTTACTTTTTGACATGTTCTAAACAAGTCTCAAACTTACATGGTGGAAGTGACCAGAGTCACAGGTTTTGACTCCATGGTTAAGGGATTATTGAGGCAAATTAGCCATTGGTAAAGAAGATGATATCTATATTAAAAACTAAATTACTTTACTTGTCACTAAGAATTGTGAAGGGCTGTTCAGCTATTGGCTGTGTGCTTATAACATGTTGTTTACTGAACTGTTGCGGGGGATGTAACAGGCATATTGGAGACCTCATATTGACCTCTGTAACAGAGGCATATTGGAGACCTCATATTGACCTCTGTTAGTATTGGAACCTCATATTGACCTCTGTAACAGAGGCATATTGGAGACCTCGTATTGACCTCTGTAACAGAGGCATACTGAATACCCCATAGTCATATTAGTGACCTCATATTGACCTTTGTAACAGAGGCATATTTGAGACCTCATATTGACCTCTGTAACAGGCGTATTGAAGACCTCATATTGACCTCTGTAAAAGAGGCATACTGGAACCTCATATTGACCTCTGTAACAGAGGCATATTGGAGACCTCGTATTGACCTCTGTAACAGAGGCATATTGGAGACCTCGTATTGACCTCTGTAACAGAGGCATACTGAATACCCCATAGTCATATTAGTGACCTCATATTGACCTTTGTAACAGAGGCATATTTGAGACCTCATATTGACCTCTGTAACAGGCGTATTGAAGACCTCATATTGACCTCTGTAAAAGAGGCATACTGGAACCTCATATTGACCTCTGTAACAGAGGCATATTGGAGACCTCGTATTGACCTCTGTAACAGAGGCATATTGGAGACCTCGTATAACTAAATGTTTTCTCGGAAATTCTTGCATCAAGAACTGTGTCAGACATAGCGCTCACATGTTATTAACATTCACAAAGTCCTTGCATAAACATTATTATCTCCCTTCTAAATGAACATTGAAAAAAGCTGACGGTATTTGACGAAATACTTTAAAATGGTTTTGTTATGATCTTAAGGCGTTTTATAGTTGGTGTTAGAATTAAAGATTTTAGTGTCGTGGTACGTATCGTATCGCCACCCTTATATCAGGATTCGTGTTGTATCGCAGCTTCAGTGCACAATACTTTGACAATATATCGTTGTGATGTATCGTATCTCAGGTTGTATGCCAATACCAGCACTAGTAATGCAGGTGCTTGGAGCGCTAATATTGACCTCAGTAATTCAGGCACTCAGGCACTGGTATCCTAATATTCACCTGTCTGTTACAGAGGTGCTTGGAGCGCTGGTGTCCATCCTCCTCCTGTGGGTGCTGACTGGCATCCTCTGCTACTCAGCTGGACTCCGCATCGTGGAAGACAACTATGAAATCAACGCTGAGATCATGCTCATAACTGCTGCTTGTGGGGTGTTCTTTAATGTTGTGTAAGTTTTTCCATTTATGCTCTGAACTGACTTTCGGATTTCCTTCAGTAATGTATTCATGTGTGTCTTGATGGTAGAGAATCATGGTTGACCTATCAATAGCAATGAAAAAATATTGTGCAAGATTGTTCTGATATGAAACCTCTCTGCATGAAGATCTGAGAAATCTGCCATGAAGATTTGGGTTAGAATTGGTCTTCCGCAAACCAAGCTTGTTGTAAGAGGTGTTGATCGGGATTGGGTGGTCTGCCTCGCTGACTTGATTGACACATGTCATTGTATCCCTATTGTGTAGATCGATTCTCATAGTGTTGATCACCAGATTGTCTGGTCCAGACTCAGTTATTCACAGACCGCAAACATATAGCTGGAATATTGCTGAGTGCTGCGTTAAACAACAAACAGTCCATTCCAATCCAAAGAAAGACATGCTAGGGAAGTTTCTGCTTGGCCAGACACAATCCAATCTTCTTATTTATTGAGTGAGCTGACCATTCAGATGAGCATTAGGGCTGCAACGATCGGTTACAATTCATCGAAAATCGAATCTGACACCACACAACCAGAATGATATTTTGACTCCAACTCGAGCAGTTTCGAGCGATAAAATAAGGTGAAATGTGATTGGTTGATACCGGGCTTTGTTGATATACTTTGTTAGTAGACATCGCCAAGTTGACAATATCAAAAATCGAATCGAGTCTGGGTGAATCGTTACAGTCCTAACGAGCATATCTGATTACTGTATCTGAGGAAAACAAATACAACTGGGGATTTCGGGATGCAGGAAAAAAAGCTGCATTGTTGTTGATAATTTATATATCCTATTTCTGAACACTATATCATCTAAACTGAAAAAAGGGTGCGGTGGGCGAGCTGGCTAAGGCGCCAGGCTAGTGATCCAGCGAGGTTGAGGTGCCGGGATCGAGCCCACCTGTGACCGGGTGTAAAAACCTTGGAGTCAACTTTGTGTGCAGACTCTATCAGTGTTGTCACAACCCTTAGTGTACAGTACACAACCCTCGAATCCGTTGGTATATGACCAGATGGTGACCACATGAATGCGTGCAAACACCTAGTTGCGGGTACAGCAACGTGCAATGAACTTGGACAAAGTACTGTGACGGTGTCCTCCCATTACGCAGACAGCCAGTTCGCAGACACCTTAAAACAACAACATTTACGGTTCAGTGAACAGATTATCTACTATCTGTTACCTACACATTATAATGGAATAGTCCAAATAAAAACTCAGGAACAAACTGAAGCTATATTATTTAGTTTGAAAGATGGACGAAAAGACAGTAACTTGAATGTTTATTGCTGTAATATAAAAACAATTTATTTTCATAAACATTCGGTTTAACCTTCTAGTCTAACGGGGGTCGGCATCATCATATTGAAAACATTAGCTTAGCTATTAGAAATTGCAACACTGTTGTATCATATGAATCAAATAAAGACCAATGTGAACCTAAATATTATTCATATGGAATAAAGAAGTTATATGTTTTGCACACCATATTATGATATATAATGAGTGCACTTAATTACGATTTATTTAGGATAAATATTCAAAATATGACGCATCATGTCAATGTGGCCATGGATGTCAGAATGTTTTTATTACTTCCTTGAATATCTATTGTATACTATTCAAAGACATAAACTGTTACAATCTTTAGAAAGTATTGTTAAAATCAGAACACTGATTGGTATTAATCTGATCTTACATGGCAATGCAGGTGTCTCATTTACTGCAAATCAGAAATGTTTTCAAATATGTACATATCTATATCTCTCCAACAAAATATTTTCTCAGTTAACTTCTGTTGTACATATGCTATTATTGGGAGGGGGCTTTTCTATCAATAAACTCAATCAAATCTCTCAGTGACAAACCTGTTTTTATATTCGATAGTAATTGATAGTAAAATCAATTTTGAGATGAGAAATCATTTATCATTTAATCACAACAAAGTTCTATTTTTCTATCAATAAACTCAATCAAATCTCTCAGTGACAAACCTGTTTTTATATTCGATAGTAATTGATAGTAAAATCAATTTTGAGATGAGAAATCTTTTATCATTTAATCACAACAAAGTTCTATTTTTCTATCAATAAACTCAATCAAATCTCTCAGTGACAAACCTGTTTTATATTCGATAGTAATTGATAGTAAAATCAATTTTGAGATGAGAAATCTTTTATCATTTAATCACAACAAAGTTCTATTTTTCTATCAATAAACTCAATCAAATCTCTCAGTGACAAACCTGTTTTTATATTCGATAGTAATTGATAGTAAAATCAATTTTGAGATGAGAAATCATTTATCATTTAATCACAACAAAGTTCTATTTACCCACAATCAAACTTCGCAGTAACGAACCTGTTTCAGGCTCACCCTGCTCTACTCACTAGACAGTGGACTGTTCCATTATACCCGTAGGTGTTACCCTAATTAACCTTCTAGTTTAGTGTCTGTCAAATGGGTATCTGTCAATTGGGAGATAACCACTGTGACTATGTGTCCCAGTTCACCCAGCTGTGAATGGGTACCTCGTTAGTATGAGAAAGTCACAATAACTTGGTGCGCCAAGTGGCAGCAAGAGTTGTATACTCCCCAGGGAGTTGAGATTGATAATACGATGATCGAGGGGAAAAAATACCAGCGCCTTGAGCATGCACCAGTTGTGTGGATATGTGCGCTATATAAAAAGAAAAATATACTATAGTAAAAAGGTTATGATCAAAGGTATATTATTATTCTGTGGTAGGATTCTAGTAACCAGGGTACCAGGCAATGAAGAAGTTTAAGCCGAATCATTTTAGAGTGTTGACGTCTTGATTTGCTCCTGGTGATCAGAGGTTCATTTTGGGTTGACCTGACCTTCAATAAAGGTGTATTGAGATCTTTATGCAGAGGCATTGTTACCTGAGGGTGTCAGGGTGTTGTACCCTTCTCCCTAGCCTGGATTAGTTAAAACATCTGATTTGAATGGGCTTCTCATCTGCTGTTACATCTTTACATCTTACAAGTACAATGATGTCTGTATGAGGTAAGCAATGGTTGCATGGTTGATATTAACAATGGTGCAGGATGCATGAGTGAGTGAGTATGGTTTTACGCCGCTTTTAGCAATATTCCAGCATTATCACAGCAGGGGACACCAGAAATGGGCTTCACAAATTGTACCCATGTGGGGAATCGAACCCAGGTCCTTGAGCGAACACTTTAACCACGAGGCTACCCCAACGCCCCTGCACATTGTACCCATGTGGAGAATCGAGCCCAGGTCCTCGAGCGAACACTTTAACCACGAGGCTACCCCACCGCTGCACATTGTACCCATGTGGAGAATCGAACCCAGGTCCTCGAGTGAACACTTTAACCCGAGGCTACCCCGAGCCCTGCACATTGTACCCATGTGGGGAATCGAGCCCAGGTCCTCGAGCGAACACTTTAACCACGAGGCTACCCCACCGCTGCTGCACATTGTACCCATGTGGAGAATCGAACCCAGGTCCTCGAGTGAACACTTTAACCACGAGGCTACCCCACCGCCCCTGCACATTGTACCCATGTGGGGAATCGTACCCAGGTCCTTGAGCGCACACTTTAACCACTAGGCTACCCAACCGCCCCTGCACATTGTATACATGTGGGGAATCGTACCCAGGTCCTCGGGCGAACACTTTAACCACGAGGCTACCCCACCGCCCCTGCACATTGTACCCATTTGGGGAATCGAACCCAGGTCCTCGAGCGAACACTTTAACCACGAGGCTACCCCACCGCTGCACATTGTACCCATGTGGAGAATCGAACCCAGGTCCTTGAGTGAACACTTTAACCACGAGGCTACCCCACCGCCCCTGCACATTGAACGCATGTGGAGAATCGAACCCAGGTCCTCGAGTGAACACTTTAACCACTAGGCTACCCCACCGCCCCTGCACATTGTACCCATGTGGAGAATCGAACCCAGGTCCTCAAGTGAACACTTTAACCACGAGGCTACCCCACCGCCCCTGCACATTGTACCCATGTGGAGAATCAAACCCAGGTCCTCGAGCGAACACCTTAACCACGAGGGCTACCCCACCCTGCACATTGTACCCATGTGGAGAATCGAACCCAGGTCCTCGGCGAACACTTTAACCACTAGGCTACCCCACCGCCTGCACATTGTACCCATGTGGGGAATCGAACCCAGGTCCTCGAGCGAACACTTTAACCACTAGGCTACCCCACCGCCCCTGCACATTGTACCCATGTGGAGAATCGAACCGACGTCCTCAAGTGAACACTTTAACCACTAGGCTACCCCACCGCCCCTGCACATTGTACCCATGTGGGGAATCGAACCCAGGTCCTCGAGTGAACACTTTAACCACGAGGCTACCCCACCGCCCCTGCACATTGTATCCATGTGGAGAATCGAACCCAGGTCCTCGAGTGAACACTTTAACCACTAGGCTACCCCACCGCCCCTGCACATTGTATCCATGTGGGGAATCGAACCCAGGTCCTCGAGCGAACACTTTAACCACAAGGCTACCCCACCGCCCCTGCACATTGTACCCATGTGGGGAATCGAACCCAGGTCCTCAAGTGAACACTTTAACCACGAGGCTACCCCACCGCCCCTGCACATTGTACCCATGTGGGGAATCGAACCCAGGTCCTCGAGCGAACACTTCAACCACGAGGCTACCCCACCACCCCTGCAGGGTCATGAAACATTACTGGTGTGCTTTATGTAGGATTTCATATCTCACTTGAACCACGGATAATAAACATGGTTTATTAATCAACCCCGCTCTGAGTATTCATTTGACTGTGTGCAGCTCAGTAGATTCAGAAATATAAATTACAGAGAAGTGTTTCAAATCCTGTGTTTCCTATGTTGTTTCCAATGATGGCTTTTCTGAAACTGTTGTTTCACATATTTTTGTTCCAGATGTTGTTTTAAAAGGTGTTGTTTCAGATACTGTATTTTCAGAAACCATATTTTCCATATATATGCTGTTTCTGATGTTTTGCACCCACGAAGGTCCAGGTTCGAATATCGATCTTCAGGGATCTGGTGGTCAGGCCCGCTGACTTGGTTGTCACATGTCATCTTATCCCAATTGCGCAGATTGATGCTCATACTGTTGATCACTGGATTGTCTGGTCTACACTCGATTATTTACAGACCGCTGCCATATAGCTGGAATATTACTGAGTGCGGCGTAAAACTAAACTCACTCACTCACTCACTCTGATGTTTTGGTTTTGGCACTTTTTTCAGATGATGAAGTTTAAGATGCTTTTGTTCCAGTTGCTGTTGTTCCAGTTGCTGTTGTTTCTGATGCTGTTGTTTCTGTTGCTGTTGTTTCTGATGCTGTTGTTTCTGTTGCTGTTATTTCTGATTGTGTTGTTCAGTGACCAATCTCCCTGTTTCAGCCTTGGCGTCACCCTTCATCAAAGTGGTCACGGTCATTCTCATGGTGGTCTCTCCCACGCTCACTCTCACGGTCACTCCCACAGTCACGACCGATCAATTGACTACAATTCCTTCAAAGAAGATGATGCCTTCTCAACCACCAGACCGAAGTATGGCAGCATCTCAGAAACACATGATGAGACACATCAGCACAAGAAAAAGGACTCTAATATCAATGTGAGAGCTGCATTTGTCCATGTAGTTGGAGATCTGCTTCAGAGTGTTGGAGTACTTGTAGCTGCTCTTATTGTATATTTCAAGGTAAGAAGCCTTTTGTAACTTAAAGACACTATATCACACCACATTTCTCTAAAAATAAATAATGCATTTCTCTCAAAAATACTCACTATCAACCCTCAGGGAAGCTACCATATAATTTATTTTGAAAAATTAGCATATTTAGATTACAATGTTAAATTAAAAAGTTTGAATGAATTAGTGCAACATTGCTTTAAATTGACTCTTGTGCACGTGCCCTCTACCAGCCGAATATTATTTTAAGCAAACTCCATAGAGTTATGTCCCTTGGAGTGCTCTTTACGAATATCCTTAACTAACTTGTGATTGAAACCAGTTCGGCAATCACCAACAACACCTCATGCGACAGTTTTCGATGTACGGAACAATTGTTTACTTTCCATATATGGCAAGTGTTTGGAAGCTGTTTGCCTCGAAGTTTCATTATCGATTTCAGGCAAGTTGTAAAAGATGATAAGTCTTTTGTTGCATCAATAGGAAGCTATAGTGAGTGCATATGTCCCAATATATATAATATAGGCCAAAATATTGTCAAAAATGTATGACATTGTGCCTTTAAATTAAGGTAAGAGTTAGATGGCGAGTAGAGTAATGTTGCAGCTTTCACCTATGATAGTGAGTTCAAGTGCCGTTTTTATGTATATGGGGGGTGGGGTGGTGGAGGGTGGAGATTTGGGGGGTAGCTGAGTGGTTAAAGCATTCATCACGCAAAGACCTGGATTCGACATCCCCCACTATGTGCGAAGCCCATTTCTGGTGTCCCCCACTATGATATTGCTGGAATAGATATTGAATCGATATTGCTAGAAAGCGGCTGACACTAAACTCACTAACTCTCTTGTTTTGTTAGGGTGTGTGAGTGAATTAGGATTAACGCCAGTTTCAACAGTATTAAAGTGAATTGATGACTTTATGGGGGACAGCTTTATGTGTGAGGAATGCCAGAAGTGTAGGCCCCAGACATGTAACATTTTGGTGGAACCTTCCAACATGGGTATGGCCTTCACATAGAAGGGCGAACCGGCATTCAAACTTGCATTCATCGGTTTCAGCGGATGAAACTCACTCACTATAGGTTTGTCAGCACCAAACCCATTCGGGTTTCCCAAATTGTAAATGTCTGAAATCTGCTTCACTTCGGGCTTTCCTACCAGATTAAGTTGACACACCATGACATGAATGGAGTATTGTTAAGTATGGCGTTATATAAATGTCACGTACAAGTCTAATGGTTTAAAATATGTTTTGAGTATATGTAATATAAATATTTGGGGATGTAGGAACTGGAGTGTTCAACTCAATTCAGATGTTTGTCTGAACTAGTTTCCTTGTTGTTACAAAACATCATTTATAATATGGTTTAAATCGGCATGTAACAATTCTTTTTGTATTTAGTGTAATTAATAAGAAATATGCAACAACTAAGGAGCCACATGGTCGAAACTTGTGTGACTTATTATGATTGAGATTTTTACAATTTAAAGGTGTACTTTACTCATTCGAATGTATGGCAGCTATACAGTGAAATTCCCGTTCACATGAAACTATATTGTTTTGTATTATTACTCTGAACCTATTCCATCTGTTTCAGCCTGAGTGGAAGATTGCTGACCCCATTTGTACATTTCTGTTTTCTGTGTTTGTTGTCGTGACAACAGTGACTATTCTCAGGGACATTCTGGTCGTCCTCATGGAAGGTGAGTTAGGTGCCAGGCATTCCTGAGTTTAATCCCAAGTTGCAAAAAAGCATTAACATCACACCTGTTACTATGGTGCCATTCTTCCTCTGAGAAAGCCTGACAACCATTTATGAAAAGTGGTGCCACTCGAACCCCTGAGCTAACTTAAATGACTAGTCTAGATGAAGGATGCTTGGATTCTTGAGCCAGTTAGATATTAGCTGTCTAAAATGATCTGGTTTGATCACCACCATTTTTATTTTGACAACACAAGACACAAATAAACTTTGGATGGATGGATGGATGGATGGATGGATGGATGGATGGATGGATGGATGGATGGATGGATGGATGGATGGGTGGGTGGGTGGGTGGGTGGGTGGGTGGATGGATGATGGATGGATGGATGGATGGATGGATGGATGGATGGATGGATGATGGATGGATGGATGATGGATGGATGGATGGATGGATGGATGGGTGATGGATGGATGGATGGATGGATGGGATGAATATGTACATGGATTAAATCTATATTAATATTACAGTCTGCGTCTTGAGCGACTAGTCCAAAGACTAGTAAGTTCAGCTAATGATATTTGAATGATAACATCTAACTCTACTTACACAAGGTCAGGGTAACCTTTCAGCATCTGTTTGTAGGTACACCCAGGAATATCAGCTTTGCTGAAGTAAGGGATGCGTTTTTCACAGTCAAGGGCATCAAAGACATTCACAATCTACGTTTGTGGTCCCTTACCATGAATAAAACAGCACTTTCAGTTCATATTGCAGTCGGTAAGTCCAAACAAAATGCAGCAGTACTTTTGGTGGGTTAATTCTACCTCACCTTGACATCATCAGTGAATTTTGTTTGTTGTTAAACGCCACACTCTGCAAATAATCTGTAAATAATCAAGTCTGGACCAAAGAATCAAGTGATTGACATCATGAGCTTCAATTTCTGCATTGGGACATGATGACCTGCATCAACCTTGTCAGTGAGCTTGACCACCCTAACCTGTTACCTCTTACAACAAGCATCAGTTGCTGAAGACAGTCTAAGTAAACTTAGGCTCAGTATTATTCATTACACTGCTATACTGAGTCTAACAAACCCTAGTAGAAGGTCGAGTCAGCTAACCTTTTGAATTGACCATTGAGAACACAGCTTACCAAATCGCGAAAGTTAAAATTCAACCTACCCTTTGAAGTTTTACCTTGAAAACTCGAACGAATCCGAATACTATTTTTCCACACAATCGCTTCCGAGTGTTATACATGGAGGACGCATTATTCACAACAACGAGTAAACAGTCGCTGAAAATAGCGTTTTTTCTCAATATTCCAGGATGTCATCTTGCGGAAATATAAGATAATGTCATCAGAAACTCCTAAGCGTATATAATGCAGGTCAAATATCTGTGTTTTATGCAGATTTTCTTTTATTAGGTTATTAATTGAAATACACTTTTCATGATTTTAAAATTGTTTTCAGAAAAAGATGCAGACCCTTTGAAAGTGATCAAGATAGCATCATTCTTGGTACAGAAGAAGTTTGGCCTGACAGAGACAACAATGCAGATCGAAGAGTACACCACAGACATGCTGAAGTGTTTACACTGCCAGCACTTGAAGGATTAAAGGGGGAAACTCTGTGGTCTGACATCCATAAATTTAGACCTTTATCTGTATCACTTCTAAATTCCATTCAAAGACTTGAAAGATTAGACTGTGTTGTTACATATTTGTGATTGCTGGTTTTCAGTCTTGGAAACATTATCAAGGAAGATGGGAACAGAATTTAGATGAGATACCAGGTTTGGGGTACAGACTTGACAGGGCAGACTCTGATGCATCTAATTAGACTTAAGGGTAACTTGGAGAAACCCCATTTTTGTGGTACAGGGTTGGCAGAGAAGAACTCTGATACATCTTATTAGACTTAAGGGTAGCTTGGAGAAACCCCATTTTTGTGGTACAGGGTTGACAGAGCAGACTCTGATACATCTTATTAGACTTAAGGGTGACTTGGAGAAACCCCATTTTTGTGGTACAGGGTTGACAGGGGAGACACTGATACATCTTATTAGACTTAAGTGTAACTTGGAGAAACCCAGTTTGGGGTACAGGGTTGACAGAGAAGAACTCTGATACATCCTATTAGACTTAAGGGTAACTTGGACATACTCGGTTTGGGGTACAGGGTTGACAGGGCAGACACTAGTGCAGTGATGTTGAATATTGGTTTAGTTAAAAAAACAATTCCAGTGTAATCATTTTAAGAGTTATATAATATGTTACATTAGGCATCTTAGTCATTGTTAGAACTGGTGTACTAATAGAATTCACTGATGGTTAGTTTTGTTGTTCTGTGTCAAGTCCATGAGCCATCATAGTCATCAAGCAGCGTTAATTCCCAACAATGTCTACTCCTCGCCACTACCCCTGACTGCCAAACACACTTCCTGTCAAAATGGAAGGGAGACGTAATGTTTTGGGCTCAGTTCCTGTTTGCACTGGCATCAGCATCAGCGTTTCCATCCTCGCCTGAACCATAACTTGACAACTGTTCTGTGTCTTTCAACTAGAATTCACATTGGTTTTGCTTATCAGCTTAACAGGTTCCTTTTTACTATTTTGCAGTTAAAATCTGTTTTCTTTTGTTCCCTTAAAAACAATTTAAACATCATCCCAAACAGCTGTACACTCCTTCCAAGCCAGTACTCTCAAACCAGTAAATACTATGCATGAAACTAAATGTGTAGTGCCCTCATGCTCTACAATTCCCTTTTTGTATTTTTAATGTTTTCAAATTCTTTTGTTGCCATGGAAACCAATGGTAACTTCTGTACCTGCTTTAGAGTCTTTCCATTAAGCATAATGATACTGCTTGTTCATTTTTGGTATGGGGCGGTTGGGTTGCCTAGTGGTTAAAGCATTTGCTCGTCACGATGAAGACCTGGGTTTGATTCCCCACAATTGTGAAGCCCAAATCAGGTGTCCCCGCTGTGATATTGCAGGAATATTGCTAGACGCAGTGTATAAGCAAACTCACTCACTCACTCATTATTGGTACATCTACTTGCACAATACAATAATCTATCAGCCATACTGTTGTTAAATGTTCAACAGCCTTACCTGCCGAAACAGGGCAACAAGGAACCATGTGGTGCTGCTTAATGCATTAATCAGGACTTGTACTTGTATTTTTTGCTATTATTGCTCTTTTAGATTTGCAAACACATTTATCATGACAACTTTCATGTATTGTAAATATGGATCAGGGAGATAATGCATAATTACATATTGATATATGTATAGTGTAGAATACAATGGGATAGATGATTGATCAGGTGAACTGTAAACATATGGGTAATAATGAGGAGATAGCAAAGTAAATGGTTCACTGGATTGACACATGTGTTGGAGACTTAAGGGAAACTGGGAGATAACAAGGTAGAGGGTTGACTGGATTGACACATGTGTTGGAGACTTAAGGGAAACTGGGAGATAACAAGGTAGAGGGTTGACTGGATTGACACATGTGTTGGGGACTTAAGGGAAACTGGGAGATAACAAGGTAGAGGGTTGACTGGATTGACACATGTGTTGGGGACTTAAGGGAAACTGGGAGATAACAAGGTAGAGGGTTGACTGGATTGACACATGTGTTGGAGACTTAAGGGAAACTGGGAGATAACAAGGTAGAGGGTTGACTGGATTGACACATGTGTTGGGGACTTAAGGAAACTGGGAGATAACAAGGTAGAGGGTTGACTGGATTGACACATGTGTTGGGGACTTAAGGAAACTGGGAGATAACAAGGTAGAGGGTTGACTGGATTGACACATGTGTTGGGGACTTAAGGAAACTGGGAGATAACAAGGTAGAGGGTTGACTGGATTGACACATGTGTTGGGGACTTAAGGAAACTGGGAGATAACAAGGTAGAGGGTTGACTGGATTGACACATGTGTTGGGGACTTAAGGGAAACTGGGAGATAACAAGGTAGAGGGTTGACTGGATTGACACATGTGTTGGGGACTTAAGGGAAACTGGGAGATAACAAGGTAGAGGGTTGACTGGATTGACACATGTGTTGGGGACTTAAGGGAAACTGGGAGATAACAAGGTAGAGGGTTGACTGGATTGACACATGTGTTGGAGACTTAAGGGAAACTGGGAGATAACAAGGTAGAGGGTTGACTTGGGGACTTAAGGTAGAGGGTTGACTGGATTGACACATGTGTTGGAGACTTAACGGAAACTGGGAGATAACAAGGTAGAGGGTTGACTGGGTTGACACGTGTGGGAGAGACTTAAGGGAAACTGGGAGATAACATGGTTAGGGATAGAGGGTTGACTAGATCAACACGTGTGTGTCTGAGATTGAAGGGTAAATTGGAGATAACAGGATTTGGGGTAGAAGGTTGACAGATATTTTATAGTTATATTGGCTGACGCATTGTGTCATAAATCCCCGCTGGTCCCATAACTGAGTGAAAGTTGTAAAATAAGTATGTGCTGAAATAGCCTTATTTGAAAACATTTGATCAGTGGAATTGAAAATCTTTTAGACTTTTTGAAAAACGTCAGTCTAAGTAAACTTAGGCTCAGTATTATTCGTTACACTGCTATACTGAGTCTAACAAACCCTTGTAGAAGGTCGCGTCAGCTAACCTTTTGGACTGACCAATCAAAACACAGCTTACCAAATCGCGAAAGTTTCCATTCACACATACCATTTGAACCTTTACCTAAAAAACTAGAATGATTCCAAATACCTATTTTCCGCACGATCGCTTCCGAGTGATACACGCAATGAGTAAACAGCCGCTGAAAATAGCGTTTTTGTCAATATTCAAGGATGTCATCTTGCGAAAATATAAGCGACTAGTAACCATGTCATTAGAAACCCATAAGCGTATATACTGCAGGTCAAATATCTGTGTTTTATGCGGATTTTCGTTTGTTGATAGATCAGTGTCAGTGACCAGGGAAGAGAAAATAAAAAAAATGTTTTGTAAGTCCCGCCAAACCCTAACAAGTAGTGTTGTCTGATTGGTTAAATCTGTTCGGCCGTCTCCCGTTTGATTGGAAGGTCATAGGTCGCTCAAAGGTTAGCTGACGCGACCTACTACTAGGTTTTGTTAGACTCAGTATAGCAGTGTAACGAATAATACTGAGCCTAAGTTTACTTAGACTGGAAAAACGTGACTTTGGCTTTGCGAAATTGATGCCACATTAAATAGATACTATGTCTTGAGTGGACAGTACTTCATTCAGAATAAATAAAATCACTGATCAAGGCTAGGAATGGAAGGTTTTGCGTGTGATAATTTGAGGATTGATCATTTCTATGTTGTTTCAGTATTAGTGCCTTAAACCAATGCAGTGTTTGTTAATACTCAGTAGAAGTGGAGGAAATGAAGTTGCTAAGGTTACAAGCAATGAATGTGAAACTTTGGCCTGACATTAGGTATAGCATAATTCAATATGTCATGTTTTGTTTATCACAGGGATACTTACAGAGTTGCTTCCCCTGTCATGTCAATATCAGATAATGGGTTCAAATATCTTGATGATGACCCGTGGTTTTCACGTTCACTCTCGCCTTTGTCATTTTCATTGTATATATGAATGTTGATATTTTGCCTTGTGCCATTGCCATGTAACACACTATGCAGTACATTCACACATTGTGCCTTGTACTATTTCATGTAAAAAAAATCTTTTCTTTGGAAGTAATGAGGTGTTGAGGAAACATACTTGAATATTTTGTTTGTTCCAAAAGGCTTTCATCAGTACAGTAAAATGCTCATAAAGATCTTCACCAACCTGCTTGTTGTAAGAGGTGACGAATGGAATCGGGTGGTCTGACTTTGATCAGTCCATATCGTTATGTACCAGTTGCATAGATTAATATTCATGATTGTTTGGTCCAGACCCATGAAGATCTGGGTTAGAATCGATCTTCACCAACCCATGCTTGTCGTAAGAGGCAACTAACGGGGTAGGTTCGCCGACTTGGTTGACACATATCGTCGTATTCCAACTGCATAGATCGATGCTCATGCTGTTGATCACTGGATTGTTCGGTCCAGACTCGATTATTTACAGACCGCTGCCATATAGCTGGAATATTGCTGAGTGCGGTGTTAAACAGCAAACCAACCAACCAACCAACCAACCAGACTCATTTACCGACCACCATCATACAGCTGGAATAGTTTCTTAATGCAGTGGACAGTCAAACCTTGTAACATATGTTGTTGAAATCCTACTGTTTTTCTCACATGATAGCTTTTTGTCTCATGTTGTTTTCTGTATAAAATCAAATGTACATTCACAGGCAAATTGTTGTTTAACACTGTTGATATGTTATAATACAGTAATAATGCTTACAGATCTCAAAAGGGCCATTATTGTTGAGTTTATGTGTATAAATATGTGTAAGGCCTTAAATGTTTTTAGATAAAGTGTGAGGCTAACCATACCGAAAAGAAATAGGAAAAAACATTTACCGGTAAGTTTCTGTCGGATCTGTTTTAGGGACCATTCATAATGTATGGCCAAGGGGGCTGATGATGATTTTTATGGAGAAGCATGCACAATGTGAATGACCCCCCTAAAATCCATGTCATGTACAAAATCAATTGAACACCACCACACACATATTTTTTAGATATTATGTACAAAATTTCCAAATTATCAGCAATACATTTCTTCTTGTTTGTTTCATTTTGGTGAAAATGTATTTAATCAACGAAAAAATATGTTTTTGTCCGAATTTTAATGGATTTTCTTCAAATTTCGTATAATTTCTAGTGCAATCGTATTGGCGTAGTTTGAGGCTAAAATTCGTAGCGACTAAGATAAAATCGTAGAGGTTGGCATCTCTGCACCCCCACCCCCTCGTGCCATATATTATGAATATTCGCCTACAGTGGAAGGAAATCAAAACCACAACCCCTGGGATTTCATCAAAAAAGGGTGCATAGTACATTTGAAAATTGTTGTTTAGATAAATTAAAGAAAATCAATTACCCTGTAAATTTCACTGTCATTTTGTAGTGATGGTATGACACACAAATTTGCCATTCATTTATTGCTAGCAGTACTTCTCTCAAAGTTGATAAGTACTTTATATATGTCACATACAATGAATTTAAGGACATAATTTTCGATTTCAACTGATAAGGCTTTACAAGGGTTTGCTTTTTGTACCCAATTAGTTACATGTAGTTTTGTAATCAGTATTATATTCTTTATATATTATTTTTCTGCTAGTGCTAGACATATTGATATGTTCATGTGCGAAATATGTATTATGTCGGAAAGCCCACATTACATCTCCAAATCATCATCATTATCATCATATTGACAGGATAATGAAGTGATGATGAATATGCAACATATTGACAGGATAATGAAGTGATGATGAATATGCAACATATTGACAGGATAATGAAGTGATGATGAATATGCAACATATTGACAGGATAATGAAGTGATGATGAATATGCAACATATTGACAGGATAATGAAGTGATGATGAATATGCAACATATTGACAGGATAATGAAGTGATGATGAATATGCAACATATTGACCACATTGTTATCTATTCCAGCATCGGCTGAATTCTATATAAGTCTATCAGTAATGAAAATAATATACATTTCTTTCAGTTTGAGAAGGTAATATGCAAGGGCAGAATGTTTGTTTCATAATTTATACATTTGTTTGACATTGCATTGGTCAGTTTACCAGAGACAAATATGAAATGGTCTGGTGTTCTTACAGCAGATGGTTTTGGGGTCTTTGTTTATTTATTGTTATTGTGACCAAAGACCCAAGTATGAATTCATGAATTATATTTGGCTAAATGATCATCCATTCAGGCTTGATAATAGTCTGTACCTTGGGGTAGCCTAGTGGTTAAAGCGTTCACTCGTCACGCCGAAGACCCGGGTTAGAATCTCTACATGGATACATTGTGTGAAGCGCATTTCTGGTGTCCCACGCTGTGATATTGCTGGAATATTGCTAAAAGCGGCATAAAACTGAAACACCCTCACTCACTTAATAACAATCTGTTCCATACCACAAGACTGGAAGGGGCAGTCCAAGTTGATAAGTGTATAAAGAAATTGGTTGAGGTAAAACTATTCCTCTGAGTGCAATATTCGATTTATGTGCAATACTAGGAATATATTTACCTATATAATATCCGAATACTTTATTAAAACTAGCTGTTTTAAAAAGGACCCATTGGTTCCATGATGATATGTCGCCAGCATGCCGTGCTTGTATGAGATGCCAACAGTGGGGGTCACGTGATATGTCATTGTCACATCCCTGATTGGGTCCCGGGATATTTCCTGACAATTGACAATCAGCAACGTGTGCCACTCTCTTGACATCTGTTGCAGATGTTATGTAAAAAACTTAGGACCTAAGCTGGTATACCGAGATTAACTACAATTAATAGTGTCATGGGTACACATGACATGCGTAAAATCATCTCCAATGGTATCCCATGCTGGAGACACAATTTTCCAACATACTACAAAAGAACTGAAATGCTGTTTAGAGCAGCATTAAAATCAAATATACTATACATTAGATCTGTGAAACATTCATTGTCATGGTTGTTATATAACAATACTTTCATAGTATATTTATTTAGCATAGTATATTTATTTATATAGCGCACATATCCACGCAACTGGTGCA